AAAAAGGTGGTGGGCCAGATTTGTTTAGGGTTTTGCAATGCTTGAGGCATCTTCTCTTTGGCCAGCCCATATAACCCGCTGGGTCAAAAGGAGACAAGTCAGTGGTATCACTCACTCTAAATATCTTTCTTCACAGGGTCAGAACCCTCCCAGCCTTCGAGGCTGTCCATTCCGTTCTCCAGTAAAGAAAAACCAGAACACGTCCCCCAATAAAGACTGCACATTCAATACCTTATCCCAGCTCGAGACGGACCTTGTGAAATTTGTGTCTAAGGTGCGGAGTCTTAAGGCAGCCGTGGTAACGAGCAGTAGCCTCAAGTATCAACATGCAGACTTTCCTGTGGATCCACAAACTATTACAATCTATGAAATATGGGGAGAAGAACCCGAATGAATGGATTCGTGTGTCAACATCAGAGAGAAAAATTACGTGTTGACAAACAGTATACAAACTAATAAAATGTCCTTACTCTTTAACTATCTCCTTCCTAACTCAAATTCAAAATGATGGTAACACCAACAGCCTTCCAGGTTTTGTTTTGGTTTTGGTTTTCTTCATCTGGGTCTTTGGATGGTGAGAAGTGTATGGAAAACTAAAAACAGACATATTATGGCATCATTCTTAATCACCGTGCTCTTGTTGCTAAATGCTGTTGAGTGGGTTCCAACTCCGCCAAGAGTGATTGGCGAATTTGAACCTCCCACTTGTGGTCAGCAGTCCAGTGCCTATCCTAGAGTGCCCATAAGGTTTGGGAAATTGGGGATAGAATCTTTATTGAAATGCTTGCTTGCTTGCTTGTTTTTTAATAGTAGTTACTTACATTAAAGAAAAGGAGCTCTGGTAGCGTAGTGGTTACAAATCTGTCTGTGAACTTAAGGTCAGCAGTTCGATACTACCAGCTGTTCTGTGGGAGGAAAATGAGGCTTTCTGCTCCCATAAAGATTTACAGCCTCGGAAACCCTGTATAGTGTTGCTATGAGTCGGCACATTACAACAATAACATATTTAAAAAGTGGTCAAAATAGGAACGTATCCATCTGATGAAGTATTTTTATCCTCATGAGGTTGCCATCTAACTCATAGCAACACTAGATAGGGTTGTTTCTCTCTCCTGGTGGAAAAGAAGCTGGTGAGTTTGAACCGCCGACCTTGTAGTTAGCAGCCCAATGCTTAACCCACTGTACCTCTATTACAAAGAGCAACTTTAATGACAGGTTTGAATGATAAAAGTAGACCCGGTCAGGAGGACTCTAAAATTAATCAATTCTGTTACCACTCGAAACGTCCATTCACTGCATCTCAGGAACCCTGGATTCCATGGGCTGACTTGGTGTTGCTCTGAACTAGTAGTTGCCTACATTGAATGGGACTGAGAAAAACAGAGACACTGTTTCTATTTCATTGTCAATGGAATTTGGGGTTCTGGAGGACTATTGCTAGGGGTTCCCAAACCTTTTGATATGAATGTTCTTCGTAAAATTTAGTCAAATGTGAGTATTTGGCTTGTTAGTATGGCTTATGGAAATGTTTGTTGTTCAAGGCTGACCCCTGGATCACCTTCCTAGGGCCTGCTCAGAGAATCAGTCACTGAATTCAGGTCAACCTGATGGTTTTACAAATGACACAATCTGTAGTTCCATGTGCCTGAGAATCCCTGAATCTCTACCAATCTCCTCCCCAACCACAAAAAGTTCATTTTTGTTACCTGAGCAAAGCCTTCAGGGCCTCTCCTACATTTGCGGTGGTCTTCTCGTTCTGTGGGAGTTTCACCGCTCCCATGGATGCTGCCTGCCTGTCCCCATCTTGTCATCAATATTCCTCTGCCAGGGAAAAAGGATCCAAGGGTCAACTTTTTTTTTTTTTTTTTTGTCCTCAGCTCTATTGTTGTGAAGTGCCATCGAGTCGATTCTGACCCATAGCGACCCTATATAGGGTTTCCAAGGAGAAGTTGATGAGCTTGAACTGCTGGCCTTTCAATTCAAACAGCTTCGCAGTCTGGTGCTTTAAGAGTATGTTGTTGTTGTTACGTGCCATCGAGTTGGTTCCAACCCATAATGACCCTGTATAGGGTTTCCGAGGAGCAGCTGGTGAGCTTGAACCGCTGACCTTGCAGTTCAAACGGCTTTGCAGTCTGGCGCATTAACCCACAGAGCCACACCAAGGCTCCCCACTAACAGCTATAAGATTAGGAAAAATAGAAGAGATGGAGTTTACACCTTTTGGGCCTTCTGTACCCCTTGAGGGTTTTCAGGCATATGGGACTATGAGTTATTTTCGGAGCACATTCTGAAAAGGGCCAGATACACACACACACAATTTGGTTTTAACCTATGCTCTGGATATGGGATAAGTTTCAGGTTGTCTTCATTTAACGTGATTTAGGCCTGGGGTTGACTGTCCCTTTTTATACAGCTTGCTCCTATAAACCATGTAGAGCATCTCTAACTGTCCCACAGGTCTGCTATGAGTCTGAATTGGAGACAGCAAGTCTCATATACATGGACATTCAGATTGTTTCCAATATTCTGCAATTCCAAACACTGCAGCAGGGCCCAACGCCTAAAACCCAGAGCCCTACCTTTCTGTCATTATGTGCCATGAAGTCAGTTCTGACTCATGGAGACCCTGTACAGAGTTTCTGAGGCTGTGAATCTCTGCAGGAGCAGAAAGCCGTGTCGTTCTTCCGTGAAGTGGCTGATGGGCTCCAACCACCCACCCGGGTTCCCAATCCAGTGCTTACTTCGACGGAAAGCTTAATTGTTTGGTTTGCAGTTGCTAGGACCTGCCACTAGATGGCAGACAAAGCCCATCACTAAGACCTGTGAGCAAATATTTTCCAAAGATGGTGCTTCTGGGGCGGTGAGATCTCTAAGTGTAGAAGTAGGCTGAATGCATGCTATTGAGTAGGTTCTGACACCAGTTCCGACTCATAGCAACCCTATATAAGGTTTCTGAGGAGCAGCTGGTGGGTTTGAACCTCTGACCTTGTGGTTAGCGCTCTAGTTAGTACTAGTAGTTATTGTAGAAATACTATTTTCACCAACAACTATCACTTGTCATTTGATTATTGACTCATTCATTCAACAGGTGTTTGCTCTTTGCACATTGGGGTGGCTTGTGTGTGGCCATGATGCTAGAAGATTAGCCACCGGTATTTCAAATACCAGCAGGGCCACCCATGGCTTTAGGCACTGGGGATGAGAAGACGACAGAGCTAAAATAAACTAGACACTCTTCCCTCGTGGGACTTGGGCTATAGTGGGGAGACAGGCAATAAACAAACACATAAGTAAAATATACAATGTGCAAGGTTGGCAGTTTGGACCCACACCAAGTGACTTCATGGAGAAAGAGCTTACAATCTGTTCCCATAAAGATGACAGCCTAGAAAACTCTAAGGGGTAGAGTTGTCCCATGGGGTTGGCATGAAATAGTATTGGCTACAGCAGCAACAAGGTGGGGATAAGTGCTGAGGAGATCGATAGAGCAACGAAGGAAACTAGGATGCGTATGAGGGTTTTCTGAGTGGGGCGGTTGGTTTACAATTGGAAATAGTGTGGTCATGGACGTGCCTACTGAGAAGTAGCTAATTGAGGGAGTAAATCATCACAAGTAGCTGGGAGGCAGAAGGAGCAGTAGGTGCAAAGGCCCTGAGGCAGGAGCGTGCCTGGCCAGATGAAGGAACAGCCAGGGGGTCTGTGTACTTTGAGCAGAAGGAGCTAAGACATGAGTCAGAGGTGGAATGGCATGCCTGTGGCTAATGAGTCATGGAGGACCTGGGAAACAACCAGGAGGCATTCAGCTTTTTCTCTGTGAGAGGTGAGCGTTGTCGGGGAGGACCTGAGACCCCCTCAGCAACCCTGCAGAGGATTCCACCCACACCCTGTTCCAAGCCCACCATGCTCCCATTCACCACACTCGGGAGAACTGCGGAAGACCACATGGACCAACACGCCTCCTATGGAAACTAGGGCTTGTCCCGGCACCTTCAGAGTGATCTTTCCTCATCTCAGAGCCACTTAACAGAACACTTGTAATAATGTAAATAGGGCTTGTTCATAAAAACGCAAGTGACTTGTGCCAAGTGGCATGCAGTTGTCTGGTTTTCCATCTCTGTGTAAACTCTCGTCAGCATCCCAGCTGCCTGTGTGTGGGTGGGCAATTCTTTGAAATCGCCTTTGAACCCATTAAAACATCTTGCTGGTTCCCTCATTAACTGATGAGCTAAACTCTCTGACAGGTAGTCATTTTATACTTGTGTAAGAGTCATGATTATACCCGCTCTTAAAGTTTTCCACTTAGCTGAACCCGTTGAGACTGGAGGACTCCCTCAGACAAATGCCCTGAAATACTCTTTAACTCTTGAACTGAAACTATCCCCTGAGGTGGCCTTTAGTGATATAATAGGTTGGCACACAAGATTAAAAATATCACCTGTGAGTGATTTAAAAATTCATCTCAATGAGACCAACCAGTCAATAATTACTTTAAATGTGAAGGCAAGGAGGTAGGGAAACTAGATGAAAGGAAATGAAACAACCAGAAGGGAATATTAAGCCTGCTCATCATGAAGAATGTAACCCGTGTCACTGAACAATTTATGTAGAGATTGTTGAACAGGAACCTAGTTTACTATGCAAACTTTCACCAAAAACACAATAAAATAAAATTATTTTTCTCCATTTAACTGTTGTTAAGTGCCATCAAGATGGTTCCGACTCATAGCAACCCTAAACAGGCTTTCCAAGGAGCTAGTGGGTTTGAACCACCACATTTGCGATTCACAGTCCAGTGCTTATCCTACAGCACCAAAACAGGACCCCACATGATGGTTACTTAGACTTAATGTTCTTGTTGTTGTTAAGTGCCATTGAGTTGGTTCTGATTCATAGCCAAGGAGTGGCTGGCTGGTGGATTTGAACCACTTACCTTGAGGTTCAAACCAACCTTACTGTTACATAGCGCCACCCTAGGACTGGAAATAAAGGCACCTCAAGTGAGTTACTCTGGGAGATAAAGAAGTTAGATCCACTGAGTTTGGACACTCATCAAAACGAAGGGGCTGAGGCCTTTGGAGTGACATTGGAGCTGAGGCTCTGGCACCTCCGTGTGGCATTCTCTGGGCATTGCAGCCAACACCGTGGGTAGTGGTCTTGAAGATGCACAGACGTAGATGAATTGGAGAGAGATGTGGGGGGCAGTTTACTGGGTGCAAACCTGCAGACTTCGAGTTCTTTGAGGGCAAGATTGTGACTTCTCAGTGCTCAAAGACTGCTTAGTGGTGAGAGGCATCCTCCCAACATCCGACATTTTATCTGCATCAGCCAACCCCATTACATCCTAGAGATCACCTATCCCCACCATCTCTGCCTTTCTCCTTCCTCTGCCCAGCC